TACAAGTTCATCATCATCACGCGTGTCCATTGGCAATGCGTGTGCATACACAACACGTTTTTTCGGGGAAACTTGCAAGTGTTGATTGTTCTGTATCGCATACATTTTCTTGTACCATTTCTTTGGTGACATCGACGTTTTGTTGCGTACTCGCTGGGTCGATATGTTCAGGCCCCTGCTTTTCTGCGTTGGCAGTTGTGGCGGATGTCAATGTTCCGAGTCGCAAACATTGTCTTGCAAAAATTGTATCACATCTTCGTTGGCACGTTGTATTTCAGCGTGACCAACTCCCGTTTCATCGGCATCTGCTTCGTCGGCAACTGGCGATTCAACCATTTTACGGTTCGTCTTCGATTTACGTTTGCCTCCTGGTTTGCCCCCTAGTTTGCCCCCGCAGTCCTTCAAACAGCTTTCTTCTGTAATCGCATGTTCATTGACAGAGGAGACAGTCTCCGACTTGCATTTTTTCTTATTCCTTTTACGTCTTTTCTTGAGTGGACTATTATCACTGGTGTCCGTGGTAACTCACAGACGCCAAATGTTTCCTTTGCTTTGGATTTCTTTTTTTCCCCACGCTTTGCTGGTGAAAAATCTGTCGTGTCAATGTCAAACTTATCACTTCCCATGTCACTGCACGATTAACGTGTTTTCTTGAGTTTCCTTCTTGCCTTCATAAAACACTTCCTATCTGTATAGGACGGCATATTAACGTGTGGAAAAGGCGGCACACAGCGAGTCAGGGCTTTATCTCATTTTCTTCGGCCATATTTATACTGAACGACCAGATGTCCACAAGACTGCATGTCCCAACAATTTGAATATTTATAATATAAATAAATGTTATTTTTTCGAACACAGATTGGTTACAATTTGCATACACATAGAATTGCATATGCTAGCTCAGACAGTGAAATCACATGGACTTGAATATTTCCCACCAGCTTTCCCGGTCATTTTACGTTGGTGATTGCCGACATTCAAGTTCAGCCGTTGGAATCCATCATGCTATTCATTCTAAGTGCCAGGACTATTTGCCAATCTGGTCAAAATATGTTACTACCATTATATTCGTGAATCTTGTCGTTCAAATACGGTTGTGATGCTGCAGTTTGCAATGTGGTCAAGGCATTTTTTTTTACGTCGTTGCAAACGTCGCGTTGTGGCGGTAAAATAGTGAAATGAGCAGACAAGTGTATAGAATTACAATCTTTATTACTTGGTTAATTTATTTGACTTGACGGAATCGAAAACAAATTCTCTTCCTCCATAATTTTGCAAGTGTAAAATATCAGGTTCCGTACAACGTATTATAAACGCTTGACGGTCTGAGCAACCTAAATAGCAGGCGGTTTTTCAACTACTTAACCAGTTAGCTAGCTGGAGTGGTAAATTCTAGCATACCCATATTGACGGCGGTTTTTCACCGTCTTGACCGGATTAGGGTTAATTACCTAATTTGTACATAATGAATCAATTTTCATTACTTTTCAATGAAACTTGCAATTGGTTTGCATTATTAATTTTTGGCTTTTACACTGATATCGCAAGTACTAATTATTTCATTTCAATGAAACTTGGTACATTGATGCTCTAGAACAATGCACAGACGAGCTCAGATCATATTAATTACCTAATTTGCTACCTACAATTAATAATTTTTTGGTGAAACTTCGTACATAGATGGTCTGTGATTGTACTTATCTTAATTCACTGAATCTTGGTACATATATACTCTAACACAATGTGATGATCTAATTAGTTTTAGGTTTATATACATCTTTAATAATTACCTAATTTGCATAAAAATTTACTTTTCAGATTTCCACTAATTTTGTTAGGGTTAATCATCATATTATAATAAAACTTTGTGCATGTACACCCTGAAACAATATACAAACCTAAATCTATGCGTAATAATTGCTAAATTGTATAATAATTCATTTGGTTCATTGAGGTAATCCACAGGCATGATTAGTTTAATGTTGATAAACATGCATATTGAATATCTATTATTAGCCCATTTCTTATATCTTAAAAAGTCAGATTTGAATTGAATTCATCACAGAAGTGCTCCTGAATTAATAAGACTAAAAACCATGGATGAAAAATCAAATGTATTTTCTGTATATATTATAAATTTTGATAATGTGTATCACATTGTTTTCATGCTGTGCATCTCAAATAGCAGACAAATAATTGTTGCCAAGCATCTTGTTTGAAAAGCAAATCTTAAATGTTGAATTAATTTTAATGTCTTCAATACTCTCAGCACACGGGAGTTCTTTCTAAGCTTTCTTTGATTTAGGTTTGTGTTCAGCTAAACAACCATTCCCTCCAAAATGCTCCAAATTTGCCTGCCTGGTCATAAAACCTGTTCTTTGAGCATTGTTTGACTTTTCCCGAATAACTGTAATCAAATAGATATATAATACAGCATAGATATTGACCGTTTTGAATATCGTTTGAATGTGTAGACAACTGTAACCATGCATAAAGTATGCTTTGACAATGACCTGTTAATAATTGGGAAGACGTTAAATACATGTACTTTATACTTTATTCCATATTCAGTTTACTTTTAAAAAAATGGTTAATTACCCTATTTAAAAAAATGCAGTTTTTTTGCCGAAATCAATTCCAAAAGATTTCACTTAGACATCTATAATTCACTTCTGCATTGCATTACTAGAATGCCATCGGGAATTCCTGGAAAATTGCGTTGGTACAACACTGCATTCTGATTGGTTATTAACAGACTTGACCTGTCAGGTGAAATGACAATGATGTAGATCATGTCGTGCAGAAATCATCATGCCGGAACTTGTTTTATTTCGAGAGTTTGCATACATTTAAAAACATTCAACGAAGATAATGATGACTGCTAGACCTTTTACTGTTTCCCCACATAGCCTAATAATTTTACACCATAGATTCTGATGAAATGTAAATAATATTGTTATAAAACGTGAATATTTTTTACTCCCATGTGCGAAGCACAAAATGTGTGTCTGTCTGTTCCACTGATATCTCAAGAACCATACATCAGTTTTTAATGAAACTTGGTGCATAGATGCTCTGGGCCAATGCGCAGATTTGATAAGGTTTTGGTAAAATGCCATGCATATTAATTACCTAATTTGGATAATTAGTTGATTTTTAGCTGTTCCATGACTGTTCCACTGATATCTAAAGAACCACTCATTGGATATAAATGAAACTTGGTACATAGATGCTTTAAACTAATGCTAGGTTTTGATCAGTTTGTGGTAAGAATTACCTACCGGTAATTACTAATTACGTAAATTGCATAATGATTAGTCAGCTTTTGTTTTATCCACTGATATCTCAAGTACTAATCATCACATTTTAATGAAACTTGGTACATAGATGTCATAGGACACTGCGCAGACCTATACCTAATTTGCATAATTAGTTATTTTTTTCCCATGAATGTTCCACTGATATATAAAGAACCACTGATTGGATTTTAATGAAACTTTTAAAAAGAGTATTCATCATCACATTTCAATGAACCTAGGACTAAGCAGAGATCCAATTAGTTTTTGGTAAATATTTATGCTTATTAATCACCTAACTAAAATAATTAATTAACACTGATCTCAATTACTGATCACATTTGAAAAAAAATTTGGTACATACTAGTAAATGCTTAAGGACAATAAACGGGCCCGATTAATTTTGGGTTGAAATTTGTTCATATTAATTGTCTAACAATAATTCATAGTTTTTTTGTTCTAATTACATTTCAATGAAACTTGGTACATAAGTATTACATTACGCAGGCCTTATTAGTTTTACACTCAAATGTGTTCATACATGTATCAGTTACCTGATTTACATAATTAGTTTTCAGCTATTCCATCAATATCTCAAGTACAAGTAATTTTGAATTAATTTTTAATGTGTCTTCAATACTCTCAGTACACGGGAGTTCTTTCTAAGCTTTCTTTGATTATTGAATTTTTTTAGTTCTTGTTTGAACACGGTCAGAAAACGAGGAGTATTAATTTGGGATCAGTTCGTCTGAAGTCGTATCTGAGTCATTGACCAATCTCATTAAAACTTAACACACAGACAATGCATCATGTTTTACAGATGCATATTTTGCACAAAATAGTGTTTAGATATAATATTGTATTACAGAATTGGTATTCTAACTTACTCTGCAAATAAAAGATCGTACCAAGCAGCAAGTACATTGTTATCTTGAATCTATCGTAAATTCTTGATTTGTATTTAATATCTAGATTCTCAAGGTTGTAATTATGTGTCAGATTGCATAGAGCCCTGTGCATAAATATAGTAGCTGTCTTATTAAGACATACATTATGCACTGCAATTAAAGTGCCTGTGAAATGCCCATCCACACATTTCCCATTTTAGATCTGTGTCCCACTGTGCAGTTATTGATTTTTTTTGTTGCTGAAAATGATTACTCGTATCCAAGTAAATTTGAGATATTTCTCGTGCTGTGTAGCCACGCCCTCCTATCCTGAAACGGTCGACTGTCTTTCAACATAAACATTTTTCGGTCGGTGTACAAACAAGTGCTGATGATGATTACAGTAACCAGCTACACTAGAAAGGATATATTTTGCATCTAACTCAACAAACTTGATACTATGTGTTCATTATGGTCTATTAAATAAGTGGCAATTTAGTCAAAGATGAGAAAAATGTACAAGAAATTTGCCTTATTTACACATATCTGCAATGCAAGCTGCCCAGCAAGTTCTCCTTCGGACGTCACAAGGAGAATTTCTGTATTCAATTGAGAAGCTAATGAGGAGCCTCGTTTTAAAATTCACAAAATAAAGTTGCTGTAGACTGAGTTTAAAACGCATTTTTTCACTTAAAAAAAATATTTATGCTTAGAAACATAAAACTTAATAATATTGGTGTACCAATGAATGATTTTAGGCGAGAAAATAGCAGGCATTTCACAGGCACTTTAAGTTATTAAATGTTGTCTATCTGTGATGCAGATGGTGTTAGGTACAATATAAAAAATGATTAGATCTTTCAATGAACAGAGAATACCACATAATTGTCCACTATTCAGGAATAGTTTATTGATAACACATGTTTTTGTTGTTTTTTAGCTGATGTCAGTCAGAAGGACTATTGTGTGGTTGAATTGACAGAAGAAAGATACCAAGCCTTTATATATGCAGTAAAAAACCATTATTGGTATCAAATGTACATAGATGATCTGCCAATATGGGGTAGGTCAGCTCTCTTATGGCTTAATATATACAGGACATTTTGGTAAACAAGATTTGTGCTGTACTGTATTCAAAA